CAGGGTATTCCACTCATCGTCAGTGGCGTAACCAGGATTTCATCTAAGGTGGGTCCACTTAGAAGAAAAATACTCTTGGTAAAATAATTTATGTTAACTTTACGAATCATTCATGACATAACCTTATATTGGAAATTTTTGGTTAATTAAAATAGATTAGTAGTCGAAAGTATCAAGAATATTACTCTATATACCAAACAATTATTCATGATTTAGTTAGTCGTTCTGTTTCGTATGATGTTCTTTGTCAAAAACCATGAGTATCTATAACTCGAATTGTCAAGAGATATTTAATAATAAATCTTACACCAACAATAATTCATGTTTAGTTAGTCATTCGCTTATAAATTATGCTATTTGTCAAGAATCTTTTTGAATCAATAAATTGAGTTGTTGGAAGAGGTTCAATAATATATCTTATACTATTTACTAGCACGCTCCCTCATATAAGAAAGTCAACTTATAGAAAAAGGAAGTTTGCACAAATCTGTATACCGTGTACTTAACAAATGAGGTCGCCAAGATTCGAACACAAAATCTTTCGATCAACTATTCTCAATTAAATACGCCATAATTTTCGATATAAATTAACTATTGTACCTAATTGAACAATTTTCCTTCCGAATCAGGGTGGGTCCCGAGACCCACCCTGTTATACTCTCCCTCCGCCACTGCTCATCGTCATCAACCGCTGCCTTCTTCTGTTTCGCAGACAGCGGCCCCCCACAGCCCTTGTTGTTTCAATAAAGCCTGCATAGCGAAGCTGTTCTTCCCCATGAACTTCTCTATCTTCATGTTCACCGACTTCATTCTTCTTAATAAAAAATCCTAGCTTGATTTCCAGCCGCGACTCTGATAACACTTGTTATAAACGCGCTGCTACGGATCGGAAAATCGTCAGAATCGAGAAAGCAAGAATACGAAAGCGAGAATCGAAAACACGACACACCATTTATGTGGTTCACTAACACGATGTGTGTTAGCTAGTCCACGGGCGAGAGAGAGCCAGTTTCACTATATCGAGGAGATTACAGATTACAGAGGAGTATGAGAAGTACTTCTCCATGTAGGTCTAAACTTAATCCAATCTAGCAAATAAAACGATTACAGACCAGGCCCAGAACCCGAACCCAAATAACATTGGGCTCATACACCGCGAGAGCCCCGACTAATCTAGTCGTAGCGGCTGATAGTCTGATTCAAGTCACATCAACAAGAGTAATGATCCACTTCAAATTGATTGGGGTTGGCAATACATGAGAAACGGTTTAGCCTTCTTCAGAGCATCACAAGATCCTGATAGTATCTCAACCAAAGCAATTTTTGTTTTCATGCCTGATGTTGATACAAGTTGTTTACCTAGAGGCTAGAGGAGAGAACCCCAACAAGTTAGCTCTTGGAGTTGCGATGTGAAAATGTGTAAGGCAGAAATAGTTTATACAAAAGGCAATACTATGATCATATAAAATGCGTTGGTAGAGATAGTCATCAATCTCATTTTATTGACGAAGCCACCGAGGAGAATAGAGGAATCGCCATTGGTACTCTAAATTTTACAAGGCTATAATTATAATGATAATTTCTTTCATTTCATGTAAATTTGAATTATGACTGAAGTGATATTATCCCAAGCCATAAATTGCAGCAAGGAATTGTCATTTGAATGAATATGCACTGATGCAAAATGCCATATAGCTGCCACGAAGGAGTAAGAGTGAACCAATTAGTGTGTTTGCTGTCGAGAAGGATAAGAATCGTGATAATGGGGATGGTTCATGACGATTGACTTATACAAATTGAAGAGAGAGAAAATACAGAGATGTAAGTCCTTTGTATGTTTAGTGTAGCAGAGTGGTTAGGAGTGATTTGGTAAGATTTCACAGTGTTAGGGATATTGACAAAAGTTATTATTTTTTTATGCTTCCAGGCATATATAGCTTGCCTATTTCTTTTGTTTGTATATGAGATTTCTACAGCAAATTGCATGATTTGTATTTATTTTTTTTCAGTCATTTTAATTACCGAAACTATTTATCAAAAGAAACTGGCCGACGCATTCCATCGATTTGATTTGGACATTGTTGGTTTTTGTTTTCTCGACCAGGGATTCATCGCCTTTGGTGTCACTGTGGTTTTTGGTCTAAAGGCAATCCAGATTGGGGTTTTCTTATGAAATCTTTTGGTGGCTTCCATTTTTACCATCAATAATTGGAGTCAAGTAAGAATTCCTTTGGTTTTTGCATGTTCACTCTAGGGGCATCATGGTGCATGGCAATAGTGGCTATATTTAAGGGTAATGGCTTGGTTTGGATTGTCCATTATAGTGTTTATGTTTTACTGTTTCTTTTGTAATGTGATAATGACTTTCCATCATATTATTATAGTGTTGTTGACCTACCTCCGGCCATCGTCGCATACATGTTAATGGGAATTGACTTTCCATCATATTATGTTGTTGTTGAATGACCTACCTACGGCCATCGCTGCATGCATGTTAACGAATAATATCAGTTAGAAAGACTCAATTTCTAAGACTACGTCCGGCCAAGGGGCCGGATAATAAGCTAGTATAGTAATATTAGAAGTTCTAAGATAATCGGACCCAAAATATAAATTCATATATGTTCTAAAAGTGTGAAGATTTTGTGAATGTAGAACTAGAATCTATAGCTAGATTAATTGATAATTAAAAATGCAACATACTTGTCAACATATAAGTCCGCATTATTAAGACATTGATGTCACGAATGTAAAAATATGGGAGCAGATAGTATAACAACAGCTCATTTGTTGTTACTGTAACAACAGGATTCATTAAGGGTAATAAGGTAATTTAATATAAAAAATTAAATAAAAATAAAATCTAATTAATCAATCTCCGCCACCGCAGCACCTTCCTCCTGCATCTCAGTCGGCGGAGGCAGCATGGGACCATCGGAAGTGAAGGTCAGCGTCGCCGTAGCCATTGCCGTTTACGTTAACGGCGTGGATCGAGCCGAAGGAGCCCTCGGAGTAGCCAGGGTTCGGATCCAGTCCAGCTGAAGAAGATTTGAATCCGAAACCCTCGGGGGAGGAGTCGGCGAGCTGATCCTGCCTTCCGACCACTGCCGTATCAGTGACGCTTCTCCACTGCCCTGCTTCTTCCACGCCACTCCTGCTTCTCCACAACCCTGCTTCTTCCACGCCGCTCTTGCTTCTTCTATCACATAGCAATTTATACTGCGATGATGGAACTCGAGTCTTCTCTTGTTGGGTACATTTCCAGTTTGTGATTAGGACAAGAATTGTTGAAAATTGGAGATGCAAAGCTAAGTCCAACAAGAAAAGGACCTCGATCTCTCAGGTATGTTAATTAATTAATTAATTAAATAATTATCATGTATGTAGGTTAATAGAGCAGGAGGAAGTCTTCGATCGGTTAGGTAAATAACTAATAAGTCTTGGATGAATTAATCAATGAAGACTTCCCATTTGAATGATATAGTCATAGAACACCAGGTCAAATTGCATGTTAAATTGATTGTTTGTATTTTAGTGTATTATTGTGTTTATCATATGCATTTAGGAGATATCGGTATGCAGATCACTAGTCTTTAATAAACACACCAGAAACCTCCTAATGCAGACCACAAACGTGATAAAAAAACTATAAAAAAAGCAAACAAAAAACCTTCTAATGCATACCACAAATTCCCTAAAACAAACCACAAGCCTTACAAAGCAAACCACAACATTTGCGAAAACACACCAGAAACCTCCTAATACAGACCACACACGTGATAAAAAACCACAAAAAAGCAAACCAGAAACCTCCTAATGGAGACCATAAATCTCCTAAAACAAACCACAAACCCCACAAAGCAAACCACAACATTTGCGAAAGCACACTAGAAACCTCCTAATGCAAACCACAAACACAGTAAATCAAACCACAAAAAAGCAAACCAGAAACGTCCTAATGCAGACCACAAACATACTAAAACAAGCCAGAAATCTCACAATGCAAACCACAAAATTTTTGAAAGCAAACCAGAAACTTCTCAATGCAAACCACAAACACGATAAAGCAAACCACAAACTTCTCAATGCAAACCACAAACGTGATAAAGCGAACCATAAAAGGCATACAAAAATGTGAGAAACCAAACCATAAATCTCACAATGCTAACCATAACATCCGGTGATCGTTGACCGGTCAGCGAAGACCGTTGACCGGTCAACGAAAATCGTTGACCAAACTCCGATGACCGTCAGTTACCAGATTCCGGCGCCGATAGGCATATTCCGGCCCCGATGACTAGATTTCGATGCCGGTAAGCATATTCCAACGCCGGTAAGCATATTCCGGCGACAGTGAGCATATTCCGATGACAAAATAGCATATTCCGGCGACGAAAAGCATATTCCGGTGACCGGCGACCATTTTTCGGCGACCGGTGACAGAATTCCGGCGACCAAAATTTTGGGTCGAAAAAATTTAAAAATATTTTTTTTTATTTTATTTTTATTTTTTTTATTTTTTTATTTAAACATATTTTTCATAATGACAATTATACCCCTGCTTTGATTTTACACTAGGTCAACTCATCTAATAAAAAGTCATCACAACCCTAGCTTCTTATTGGTTGGAGACTAGTGGTGTTACAATAACAACACAAGGAGTGTTGTTATAGTAACCGGTCCCTAAAAATATCGAAGGAAGTTAGAGAGAGGGTATGCTATTCATTGTTTGTGTTTTTATAATCAAAGTATGATTTACAAAATACTTTGCTGCAGAAGTGACAATAACCTGTGGCTGTAGTTTAGTGGTAAGAATTCCACGTTGTGGCCGTGGAGACCTGGGCTCGAATCCCAGCAGCCACATAAAATTTTATTTTTTTGTCCTTTTTATTTTAGGAAAACCCCTCTACACTTTTTTTTTTTGGGATCAAAGCGAAGTCTTTTTTAGTTTTTTTTTTCACGGTGCTTGCGTAGCGGCGGGAGTGGTCACCGCGGGGAAGATGAACAGGAAATTTGGAGCAGGGAAGCCGCCAACCGGCACACCTTCACTAGCCTGGTCATGCGTCGTTGTCATCGCTTCCCTTCTCTCCGGCGCCTCCATCGTGCACAATATCTACAAACCTGATCTCGTAAGTCCCCACTCACCTTGCGTTCCTCCTCTGCTTCGGGAAATACTTGCTCACCACCTGTTCGATAAAATGCTCGTCTGACTGAAGTATCTTCCCTGGCGCAGACGTTACCTGCGGTGGAGAATGTTGATACCGCTGCTGAGAAAGACGAAGTCCAGGACCAGAAGCATTGAACCCTCTACTTTGCAGCACCAATTGAATCCAACTCTGACTCTCTTCGCTGTTGCGCAACTCTTGATCTGGGTAGTCGAACTCTGAAGTTAAATGATATTCTGTGATTGAATGTTCTTTCATTTCTGTTTGGGAAGAATCATAATCAATGGATCGTGACAGTCTTTGTCTTCTTAGTATGCCAAGAAGCCAAGGCATTTTGTTGCTATGGCAAATGGCACCATACTGCTTCTGGTTTTAATTAACTGAGTTCTCATCAAACATTGCTGTGTTTCCATGAGCCTTTAATAAACTAATCTATTTGTTGGCCTTTCTTGATCGCTTGGAGGGTTAATTCGTAAAAGCTAAACGGGGCTTCCATTCGATACGCTTTATTTAAATCATTGAGCCAACCTCTGGCTATGCTTTGCTTTGAGTGTCTTAGTCTTGCATTCTTGTCATTCTATGCCTCGTCTGGCTGGAATCAGATGTTCATTTGACATGACAATTCGTTTTGGCTAGCTAGTTAATCAGCCAATACTGTTACTTTCTGTTGACATGCAACATGTTTGATCTGGGAACCAGAGTTTTGTCTGAGAATAGTCGCCCCCTCGCTGGAGGAGGGTGGGGGGTCGGCTACCATATGTGGTTGAGTTCTTGCAACTTGCAAAGGCAAGTTCATTGGAGATCCGCTAACGGTCAAGTTAGAAAATAGTTTTCACTACAGAAACTTATGAAAAGGATCTGTGTTTGTACTTTTACCTCTATGAGTAGTGGAATTGTGGCTCTCGGCCTGAGAAGTATGCAAACAGGTCAAACCTATGTGTTGGAATTGGAAGCATGAGCTAGCGTGTGACAAGTAGTCGGGCGGGCCGCATCGCTTGCAGAAGAGGCGCTAATCGAGGTTAGAGACTGTTGCTACTTGCAAAAGATGGGCCAGAGTGACCAGTGCTACAGGCATTGTACGTACAGTCTTAGAGAGGTATGGTTATCATGGCACTTCCATATATGATAGAATGACTCAACTTGATACATGGGCGTTCCGGAGGAAGATGGATGTACTTGGGGCAACTTGGAGGAAGAGAGGTTGACTCCATGAGTTATGACTTGTGAATGTGTGTAGCCTGTTGGCTCATTTATCGTCAATGCCTCCATGGGTACATGGGGCTAAGGGTCGTTTAGATGGATCATTCTCAAAAAGAGGCAATTTGATTCAAAATACTCATTTTCGAAAATAAGCCAATCTGGTGAGGAAATCTGCCTAGAATATTCTGTTTGGAATGGGTTGTGAGATGGAGAAATGTGATTGAGTCATTTTGGGAAAATACCAATTTACCCTTGTATTTAGCAAGTTTCTCGTTCTGTTTTGCTACAAGTTTCCCGTCCCTGTTTCTGGGTTTCTTTCTGGCGAGTTCATCATCTATAAATCATACTAAGATCCTTTAGAGTTCATCATACCCACTCAGATGCAACTGTTTTCTGCGTTCATAATCCCCACAAACAAAATAGACAATTTTAAAAGGATATCGTGCTCCAAGACAAACAAAATCAAAACAGAAAAAAGAGGGGTTTTGGCTTTGGTGGTCTTTATAACAGTCCCCATTCCACCGCTGTTTTTGAAGTTTTGGCAGAGACAAATATAGTTTAGAACGGAGAGCGGGAAGACGTCCTGGTAAGAACGGAGAGATCAGAGAAATCAACTTGTCGTCGGAAACTTTTGCATCGATCCAAAATACAAATTGAGAAATTGGAAGAAGCAAGATCCGTTGATGAAGAAGCAATCTGCTGATATAAAAGAGTAAGAATTGATGCCCAAAATATCAACCTACCTAGATCGATTTGGATCTCGTCGTCGAAGCTAGATTGGAAAGTCTACAAAAAAGGGAAGAGACAAGACCAGCGATTTTGTTCTCGCCGTTGCATGTCATCTATCAGAGAAGTTGAAGTGTTGAACCCCCTGTTTAGGAAGGAAGGAAGGAATGAATGAAATTGAGGGGAGGGGGAAGGGAGAGGAGCACACTTTTTTCTCTCGTTGAATCAGTTGCTTTTATTGGCAAGAAAGAACCCGATACAACGAAGAAGGATCACAAAGGATCCCACATGTAACAATTCTCAAATCCACATGCAACAACTCAGCTACCCTCACATGATCACGACAAGGCGAGCCATGAACCACCCCACATCTTTCCTTCCACACAAACGTCAATATCATGCACCATACCAAAGCATGCTAATTTCGAGAGTTCCTGCAGACTGCATTGCTAGCAGCTTGTAACATTGTCTCCCAGTCTCTGTGCATCAACAGCTGACAATGCATAATAGAGGCAAGTCTGCGAGAAAAGGAGCAGTGGAGAAAAAGATGATCTCTAGTCTCTACAGCCATACCACATAGAGGGCAGGATGCATACCTGAGTTTACCCCATTTCAGCAACTTGTCCCGCGTGACAATGGCATTCTTAAGTCTTAACTAGGATCCACGCAATCACACTATACCGCCGAGGACATGTTCTGCTACACACAAGCTTGCGTCATGGAACCTCTGGAGCTTTAACCTTCTACGTGTCCCATACTGTGCGAACCGAATAAACCATCATCTCCCTTGAGTCCCAGTATATTTTATCATGCTGCTTATGCATCCATGGATGAACAATAAACCTCATTTTAAGCAGCGTGTGCCATGTCCATGAGCTACTATACTGCACATTCAATGACCATAAATTGCCCTGTCTACAATTGTATTCATACATTCAGGTCACCCACAATGTCCCTGAATTCAATAAAAACAGCCAAAGCATTTGGATAGTACATACTTGATTCCAAGCTTGCAAATCCTTCACCCCCAGGCCACCCTCCTTGTTCGGAAGCGCTAAAGAGTCTCATGCCACGTTAGCTTTGCCTTAATCAGTGTCTTGCCATAAGAATTGAGAGCAAACATTATGTACCCGCTTAAGAACCTTCTTGGGAAGAACAAAGAGTTGCATCCAGTATTGAACAACTCCTAGGAGCACTGAGTTTAGTAACTGCAATCTCCCTGCATAAGTCAACTTCTTCGCTCACCATGATTTAATCCGCTTGGTGATCTTTTCAACCAGAATATCAATTTCATTCGATGATAACTTGCCGGTTATCAAGGGCAAACCCAGGTATCTTACTGCAAGTTACCTTCTTGGAAACCAAAGAGATCCAGAGCATTGTTCTTGTATTTAATTGACTCTCCTCCAAAATAAACTTCACACTCAGCAAAATTACTTTTAAGCCCAGACAACTGATAAATTTTTTGCAGAACCGCTTTGACCTGAAGAATAGATTGAGCATATCCAGTAGTAAACACAAGAATAACATCCGCAAAACACATGTGATTTAATGCAATTCTTTGGCATTGTGGATGAGAATCAAACCCTGAATGACTAGCTTGCAAAATCATGGTAGAAAATCCCTCCATGGCTATGGTAAATAGATATGGTGACAATGGATCACCCTGTCATACCCCTTTCCTATTCCTAAAGAAACCACATAAGCTGCCATTGACGTTTATACTACAGTGTGCAGTCTGTGTGCAACTCTTAATCCACTTCATAAACATTTCAGGGAAACCCATTGCATTCATTCATCATAAGGAAAAAATACGTCCAATTAACAGAATCGAACACCTTCATTATATTGATCTTAATAGCACAACAAGAAGACAATCAAATTCTATGATATCCACTAACCAGTTCTTGTGCTAGTAGAATATTATTCATAATGCTTCTATCCTTGATGAAACCAGACTGTGTTTTACTAATGACTAGGGGCAAAACTTCTCTAATTCTTCTAGCAAGAATCTTAGCCACTATTTTGTATAAGAGATTTACACAAGAAATAGGCCTAAAGTTCTTGAAGGTATCAGCATTAGAGGTTTTGGGAATCAGAGACAGAGCTATGGAGTTAACCCCACAAGGAAGAGTACCTGAATTGAAGAAATAAAGGATCCCTCTGGTTACATCAACGCCAATGATGGACCACGTTCTCTTATAGAAGCAAGTAGAAAATCCATCCGGCTTTAGAGCCTTTTGGGAATTCATGCCAAAAACTACACTGCGTACCTCCTGTGCTGTGACATCTTGAATAAGAGTCTCACATTCAGCTGATGGAATTTGCTTTCGAACCAATTGCACCACCTCTTCTTACCGAGGGTTGATATCCAAGTTAGCTTCCCCTAGTAATTTCTTATAGTATCCAATCACTTCCTCCGATCTCTATTCAGACTAAAAAATCTCCTTACCAAACTCCTTTACCAGCTTCCTGATAGCTCTTTTTGAGTTCCAAATTTCCACAGCTTGATGAAAGAAGCCTGAATTTTTATCTCCAACCGTTAACCAAGATACCCTGGATTTCTGCCAACAAAAGCTCTTATAAGCAGAAGGAAGCTTATCAAAGTGATCTTTAGTTTGTGTGACTGCCTCAAAATGTTCTGCTGTAGCATCTGAGTACGCCCTGGTTTGAGCTCTTAGCAGCTCAGCTTCAGCCGCTTTAACTTGATCTTGAAGGTTTCCATAAACCTCTATATTAAATTTTTTAGAGATTTTTAATCTCGCGCAACTTGCACTAAGCAATCTGTAAGGGTGTCCCAGAGATTTCAACTTTCCAACCTTCTTCAACTATTTCCATAAAAGCGTATGCTCTGCCCAAAACTCAAAGTACACTTTCCTATACTTTTTCGGCTTTCCCCCTGTTTTTCTAGCTCCAAAACAGTAACGAGTAGAGAGAATGAGGCAGAAAAAGAATTGTAGAAAGCTACCCTTCAAATTGGAGGGAAATCTTGTTATTTTTATCTCTCGTTCATTCTCTTTTTCTTTTCTTTTCCAATTTCTTCTTTTTGTTTTATGTGACTTTTATATAGCTCTAATTCATTTTTATAGCTTCATTTTTTTTAGTAAGTGGCTTATGCA